ACACTGAGAGCTTACTTTTCAGACTGAGCTCTGCTTTAGCCAAAACGTATCGGGTTAGTTCAGGCAAAACACTACTGGCTACTCCAATTCGCCGGTTGATCTCTTCCTTCAATTTTCCATCACTAATAAATACAATTCCGAGATATTTGAATTTCTCCACCTACTTCACTACCTTTCCGTTAATCTGAAGATAGCAACGGAGACAGGCGAACTGGAAAGTAAAAGGCTTTTCGTTATAAATTCGCTCACACGCGCCCCATTCACGCAGCAGTCGGCTGCAAGCCTTTCCAGAGAGCTCAGCTGATCGGTTTCGTAAAATAAAATCAGAACAAGATCGTCACCAAACAGCAACCTTCTAGCCTTTACACCTCCTAGAACGAAACGATAATCGCCTTGGATGCTTCTGACTATTCTACACATGTACAGCACAAAGAGCAGGATGGGTCAGAACGTAGCTTTGACGGAAACCATTATCAGTCTCCTTAAATTTTTTTGCGAAGTATCACGTATTTAGCTGATATGCATGACTAATGACCGCGATAGTTTGGGGCTCCTGCCAGGTATAGATGTTATAGATCGCCGGTATACACATTATCATGATTTATCATAGGATGTATGCGGTACAATCACATCGTCTGCCGCGTTTATACACCTAAAAAGTCTCAACTGAAGGTTATAATTCCGTGTTATATGAATATCTGTAGTATGGAATGGTGAAAGAAAGGTGCGTCTTGCTATGGAAGTTGGGCTACAATTCGCTTTGATCAAACTAATATTTGATAATCAATTGCAACAGCCATAAAATCCTTGTTTTTGATGAAATAATTTTGCATTAAAATCTCTTAGATTCTGAATTCTTTTGTGACCTGAAACATGAATCACAGAACAGTCTGCAATATTTGCTGCTACACATTCGTTACAAATTTATAGTACACGTAAACAATTTGTTTAAACATGAGTTAACTTAAGCATCTTGTTGAAATGTACTGTATTCAGCTGTTTCTACGAGGGATAGATCTAGTGCAGGCGCTTTGTCGGCGTAGTGGGCGTGGTTTGGTTGTTGTTGTTGTTTGGAAAATGCGTTACGATGGAAGATCGTGAAGTGGACGCAGCCGGAATTTTGAGTTCTGAAACTTGTGACTCGAGTGACAGCAACGGTCATCGAAACGGTGACGATGACCGTTGGCCGACACTGCCGAATCTGTTGCTGGAGAAGATATTTGAGAGTTTGCCGTTGAAATACAGGTTTTACGCGTCGTTGACCTGTCGCAGCTGGAACTACACGTTCAACTGTCCCGGTTCCTGGAAGACGTTCGTATACGGCGACTACGTGCTGACCCGTCCGAAGTATACTCTGCACGGCGCCTACAATTACTATCCGGATTACTATCGGATGCGGGCGTTGATCAGCAAGACTTCTTCGCGGTGGCACACTCTGATTATCGAGCCGTTGACCATGCTGTTCAACCTGTACGAATTTCTACGCATTCTGACCAACTTCTGTGATTACTGCAACCACCTGAAGGATAAACA